CAAGTTCAGCCTTCCTCAGATTTGTTTTTTTGCTGTTGATCCAAAAGAAGGCAAAAAAAAACCAATTTGAAGTACTTCCAATTGTGCAACAAACTAGGAAAGAAATTCCCTCTTGACCCCAGAATGACAGTCAGATTAATTATTGGATCAAGAAGCATTTACTCTACATTGAAAAATTATATCCTTCAATATTCTGTTTTTGCAAGTATGCATCTAGTTGCTGTCTAAACATTTGTACGAACTCTGATTAAACCACTTCTTCAGGCTGAGAATTCCATATACTTATTGTTCATACTGTAAAAAACCCTTTCTTTTGCCTTAGACTAAATCTTCTTTCTTCCAGTCTAAACGCATGACATTGTGTGCTATGTAAAGTCCGGTTTGTGAATCATTTCCACACAATGGTTTGTATTGGCCATGAATATTTTTCTATAATGTTATCATATCCCCTCTGAGGCTGCGTTTTTCTAAACTAAAGAGGTTTAAATTTGTTAACCTTTCTTCATAGCTAAAATGTTCCATTCCTTTTATTAATTTTGTAGCCCTTCTCTGCCCTCTTTCTAGTGCCATAATATCCTTCTTTAGAACAGGTGCCCAAACTTGCATAGCATATTCAAGATGTGGTCTTACCAGTGATTTATAAAGAGGCAAAATTATATTCTCATCCCAAGAATTAATGCCTTTTTTCATGCATGAAAATACCTTACTGGCCTTAGTCACTGCTGATGGACATTGCAAATTGTTGCATAGTTTGTTGTCTATAGCAATTTCCAAGTCCTTCTCGTGTGTGGTTATCTCTAATTCACTTCCATTAAGGGTACAAGTTGCTTGTGCATTCTTGACGCCAAAGTGCATAAGTTTGCATTTTTCTACATTAAATTTAATCTGCCATCTGAGTGCCCATTTCCCTAGTCTATCTAAATCCATCTGCAGCAAAGTAATATCTTGCTCACATTGTATTACGTTACAGAGTTTTGTGTCATCTGAATACACTGAAACATGACTTTCAATGCTTTTTTCAAGATCATTTATAAACATGTTAAATAGAAGGGGTCCCAAAACAGAACCCTGAGTTGTAACAGTGTACTAGGGTTGTGGACTATCCTCACATCAAATATACATACATGGTTAGGAAATGGAAGTTTCTAATGAACAATGTCTAATCCTGGAAAGAAAAAGTTAAATCCCGAAAAGGAATAGGAATCCGTGAGCGTGGATTATACCGCTTCATGCTTTGACTAAGACCTGAATTAGAAGCTCTTTGTGAGTGTGGTTTTATCTTCTTT